TAATTTCAATTATATAGAAAATAATGTTACATATCATAATATATCGTATACTTATATCATGTATAATAGAAATTCTAAATATAACGTTTAACAATTTTCTTCTATACATATACATTCTTCCATTTACGTTAAACTTTTTTCTTCTATTTATATTGAACAATGTTAAACTATATATAACACGTTGTATATACGTGAACGTATATAAATGCATCATTACATTTCTTTTCGTATTCTAAAAATGGAAGCTTGGACAAGTAACAGAATTACCGAACGCTACTACTACTATTACTACTACTACTACTATCGGGGGGAAAAAAACTGTTGAAAAATTCAACCTGAAGTTGCAAGAAAAATCGAGGACACGATGTACTTACGTAGAAGCTTTTATAAAAAAAAAAAAAAAAGTTTTGTCGAACGTGGGAGAAAAGTCACCTAGCCATGCGTAAAGTCCAACGATGATGAGAGTTAATCCGCTTCTTTGCACAATGCACGCGTCCTCGTCATCAACAGGTTGACGAATATACACCTGTACTAAGCGCGTATACTCGGTGATCCAAACTTTTTCAGGTAATATTTTTATTATTTTTTCTTCTCCATCATCTTTTTTTTTCTTTTATCTAACAACGTCGTGTTTACTTTTTCGTTATATTATCTCTGTTGTTTTGACTCATTTATTCGTTATCGGCAAGTTTAATTAATACACTCGCAGTTATATTAACTTATATAGGGTGTATCAGATTTATTCTTAACATTTTTTTTTTCAAGATTGTTATCGAATAATTTGATATTTCTTTATAATGATTAATATCGATATTAGAATTTGTTTAATATTACAATTAATTCAATTATTTATTATTGAAATTATAATGTTAAATTGTATGGACAAATTTGATATTCCAAATTTATAATTGAACGAGACACCGTTCGCGATTGTGATCAATTTGATTCTTGATAGTGTTAAAATAAATGTAGAAAATTATAAAGACACTGTGTGTAGAATATACACGTATTTTGAAACGAGGATAGAGAAACGATTCTCGTACGTACGTAGACCATTGCATTCGTGGAAGACGAGATAACACGTAGCACAACCGAGTTGGAATTGGCAATGGCAGAGTAGAACTTCGGAGTGAAAACATGGTGAGAGTAGAACCAAAACTTGGACACTAGCCAATACAGAATACAACATCCGAATCTACGAGCAACCAGGAGGAGAACTTTACACCTACCAAGTTTCCTAACTTTAAAATCGAATTTGTAGACCCATCCACTAATACAACCCCAATGGAAATTATGCAATTATTTACAATACTTCCGTATTTTATATATATTAATGTATTCATTGGATTGGTTTATAATTATAATACCTAAATAATATTAATCTTTTTTTTTTTTTCATAATATAAATAATTTCTACATTATTTTGTAAATTATTAACTAATCTATTAGAGAAGCAAATGTTTTTTTTGATTTATAAAATTCATGATTGTGATTGTATAAACAAATATTTTTATATTAATCAATTTTGTTTATGTTTAAGATTATGTGTAACGCATTATGAACGATTATGCATTCGAGTAATCATGATACAACAATGCAATATTATTCGTTACGTTAATATGCACATTGCACATGTTAAAATGAAAAGTAAACGGAGTTACGTGTCACGTCTTTTTATATTCTATTTCAACGCCAGTAAGGAATGCCGTTTTGCGAAGGTATTTTCTTGCCAACACGGAAAATATGTGTG